TTCAAGGCCAAGAGAATGCGGACACAGGAGTGACCTGTTAGCCCAAGATCACTGAAGATAACAATGTTTTCTGTGAACCTAGCCAGTTCCCCGCCTCCATCATCTCTAAGACTCAGTGATGTGGGGCCAGGTGCATCTGTTGCACTGGGAACCCAGCACTCCATGCGGAGGTCACCAGCCTATGAGTCTGAGGGGACCCCATGCAGGCTGCCAGGTTGTCCATGTCGTCTTAGAATGTTATAGACGCTTGTATAAATACAGCTGTAATGGAAGTGAATGGCGCCCCGTGAAAGTGGAGCCCCTGGAGAGCAGTGTCGCAGACGAGACTGTATCTTATGTCTCCTGTGTGAGTGGCCAGCTGGAAGCAAATGAAAGCCCCAACCCCATGCTGTCTTATACCTGTGACACGGGAAGATACTCAGATATGGCCGTACTGGCAGACAGGATATGTCCTGACCCCTCAGCTCCCAGAGCTGATCAGTGACACACCTGTTGTCTACCAAAGACAAGCCATCCGTGGGGCCACTACGCACTGACCAGCCTGAGGGCTGCTGCGAACCCACAAGCTACCGTGAGCACTTGTGGCAGTCGCCCAAAAGAACACATGCAGCCATGTGGCCATGACATTGCACCCAGAGCACAACTTGGACGGCACAGTGGCATCCCTTGGGGCCATCCATACACAGGACACAGCTGCCATGACAGAAACACTAAAACCAAACGAGGTGGTGTCAAGATGGGGCACTGTGGAAGGGCACAGTCACCCAGTGGTTTTGGATAGGCCCAGGACGGGAGACAGCCTGGGGGAGCTTTAGATGCTCTCCTGCCTCCAAGACCCATTGCATGCATCGTCTGCGGAAGCGCGAACCCTGGTGGTGCTGGAGGCTTCAGGAAAGGTGGAGTCCACAGGGTTGGTTTCTGCTGAGGCCTTGCGTCAGCCTGCCAACACCTGTCTCCCCTGGTGGCTTTGACTGCCTTGCAGTGTGGGCCGCAGGTTTAAGAGGAATCTCCTCTGTCAGGCCCACCCTGACGACCTCATTCTCACTGAGGACCTCTTGACAGTTCCTTTGCATTTTTTAAAAGACCCATCTGGAAACTACACGCCTGAAATCTCAGCCAGTACTCAGGATGCTGAGGCAAAAGGCTGACGGGCTTGAGGCCAACATGAGGAAGACTCAGTGCTCAAGGGAAAATGTCAGGGAGCGAAAGGTCTTGGGTGTAGGCTCAAGGGGGCTCAGCGTGAAGAGCATTGGCTGGACTGTTGGACGTGAGGAGTTTACTGGAAAGGTAGAAAACCGAATGGCGGGGACTCCAGAGTGCCAGGCCCAAGAGCAGACAGCATGGGGGAGGAGGGCTCCGAGAGGAATCAGACCCGTGTGGTAGAAGTAGGCCGCGTAGCTCTCTGAGGATAGACCCTGCAGCCTGGTGCTCTGAGGCAGGCAGGGTGGGGGCTGCTGTCCATGTTCTGTGATGTAGACCTGAGACTTAGGTGAGTCAGTGCCTGTCGGTGTCTGGGAGAGGAGAAGGGGCTGCTGCAGGTGCTGTGGCCTGAGCAGCTGTGGATTCTGGATTCTCACGTTCCAGTCTTAAAGAGTCCATGGCATGGGACACACACTGCTATCCCCACACCAGAGACACAGAGACCCACAGATCCCTGTGCTTGCCAGCCATCCAGCTTAGCCTGATTGGCAGTTCCAGGCCACTGAGGGACCCTGTTTCAAACACGGAGGGCTGGTGAGGTGGCTCAGCAGGTGAAAACTTCTGCTGTGCAAGCCTGCAACTCTGAGTCAGTCTCTGGAACCTACGGAAAGCCAGATGGATCACACTTCAGCTGCAGCACTGCTGCGGTGGAATCTGCAGTGGCAGGAACAAAAGACCCCACAATGACATGATGGAAGGAGAAAACCAGCTCCTAAAAGTTGTCCTATGGCATCTTCATGTGTGTCATGATCTGTGCATGCCTACGCTCATACACATGCAACATACACACAACAGTACTGAAATCCAACTAGGAGGGGTGTAGACTGCGCTTCGCAAAGGACCTGAGCTCGATTCCCAGCACTGATACGGCTGATGCGGCAGCTCACAGCCATTTGTAACTTCAGTTCCAAAGGACCCAACACCCTCTACTGGCAGCCACGAGCACTGCATGCACATAGTGTACAGACATACATGCAGGCAAATATTCATGCACATAAAATAAAAATAAACCTAAAACAAAACAGTTGGGTGGCTCCTGAAGAAAGACATACACAGTTGATTGACCTCTGCTCTCGATATACACACACCCATACACATGAACATTCATGTACACGTAAACACACATGCACACACCCCAAAATTACTGGGAATACAAGTCAGCTCGGGGGAGCTCACTGGCTTAGCATGTGCAAGGCCCTGACTCCCATCTCCAGTGCTGTACAGAAGCAACACAGCATCTGGCTAGTCTGGGGAGCTGTTTTCCTTAACTGGCAAGTAATAATGTCGCCAGGTAGTGGTGGTGCACGCCTTTAGCCCCAGCACTCAGGAGGCAGAGGCAGGCAGATCTCTGTGAGTTCGAGACCAGCCTGGTCTACAGAGAGAGTTCCAGGACAGACTCCAAAGCTACAGAGAAACCCTGTCTCAAAAAAAAAAAAAAAAAAA